CAGGTTTGTAGCTGGAATTCAGCTATGGTGGAAGTATTTGCACCATGGTAATTGGCAAACACCAGGGCTTCTGTTTCCCAGTTTGGAGAACTGGTTGTTAAAAAATTTACCTGTGCACCCACTGCTCCCCCCGCCCCCTCTGTCTCTTTTAGCTTTGTAGTTACCAGTAGTGTTTCTCAAAATGTGTTCCATGAGACAGTCTGGTGACGTACTCTGTGAACAAATGACACGGAGGGGCTTTGGTTGTACAGAAACATTTTAAAGGCTCTAAGAACCCCCATGTGAAAGAACTCCTTATAACTCTGTCGCATCTTTACTAACATCCTGAGCAGTAGCCTGCTTGAACAGGCTAATGATGCCTCACCAAGGTTTTATGAAAGAAGGTTCCACACTCATTTTTTCTTTGTATCATCCAGGATCCTAGCATGGGACTTTGTATAATTACACTCATAATGTTTTGTGATGTGAATTAACGAGTGAATAAAAGTTTTGGCCCTGCTAATGGTAGCTCAACAGTACCTTTCACTCTTATCCGGGGAGTCCCCCCCCCCCCCCCCCCCCCGTGTGTGTCTGGCTACATAATAGCCGACTTCCTTGTCTGAAGATATTAGACCACAAGAGACATGTGTTCGCTTAAAAACACTCTAATTAAGTGAAGAGTTTAGGAGCAGAAAAACCAACACAGATAAATCATGTAATTGAAGGGAGATTATTCAGGTAGCCGCTCTGATTGTTTTCACATATTGCATTTTTATTTTGTACAGCTCTGCTCATGTAACCCACCTAATTAAAGCTCTTTGCTTGTGAAATTTACCAAAGCAGATCTCATAAAGTGATTACAATCCAATGTTCCAGCAAAGTTATAATTACTGAACACTAACCATCCACCTCCAAGCAGGAGTCTGTCTGTTGTTTATGTACCTGATGCTGTGGAGGCAAGGTGGGGGCGCGCAGGGAGATGTCTTTTTTTTTTTTTTTTTTAAACTTGGCAGATTGTTGTTCTGCAAACCTACAGCCTGGGGACCTTTGATGTGAACATTTGTTGCATGAAAACCCTTTGCTGGTCGCAAGGTATAAATAAGCCCCATCTACCTCTTCTGTTTGTCAGGCACTGGGGGCTGACCATTGTGGGGGATACAAG